TATATATATATAGATAAATAAATAGGTAGAGAGTTATGATTCATTGACATCAAGTAAAAATTTATATCAAATCTTATACTTTTAATAATTTAGTATAACTTTTTGTAAATGTAAAGTTAATCAAATCAATCGTTGAATCAAATGATATTATACTCAAGATCCTATATATTAAATTTCATATGATTTAAACTTTTTTAGATATGTTATTTAACATAGATATTTACATATTTTAAATGACGTATTATACATTAAAATAAAACAATGTGATGAAATAATAAATGAGATTTAAATATGTTTTTATTCCATCAAATTTTGGATAAATTTATTTTTGGTCCCTCAAATTTAAAATTTTTATTTTTAGTCCTATAATTTTTAAAAATCTTGTTTTAATCTCTTATATCAACAATAACATATATGAAAGTGACAGATTAAGACAATTATGAAACAATGTTTAGGTTAATTAAAATGTTATCCAATAAAAAAAATTAACCTTTAGAATAATTAGAACTAGAATAAAAAGAAGTACAAAACCATATTATTCACCATGAACTTAGAATTTCATAAATTGAAGCACAATTGAAAAAATGGAAATTATGTAAGTTAGAAATTTTCAATTTGTATTCTAGAAATTTTTAAAAAAATTGTTGGAAGATGAGTGTATCATTAAAATTGTTGAAAAAGAAATAGGCATTTCATCTCACCATGAAACAATTTCCTTAATTTCCTGGCAATTGGTATATCTATATACAAAGGAGTGATTAAATTATTTTAAAAATAATTCTTAATAAAGTTATTATTATACTCAATGACATGCTGTATGTTTAATTTTAATAATTCAATTGTTAAATAAAAAATTCTTAATGCATAAATTAAGTCTACAAATTTTTAAAAATTTTAAAAATTATTTAATATTTCGTTTCATTAATTCAATTTAGCGGATAATCATAAAAAATATTTTATACATTAATTTGAATTTATATAACTAAACATCATATAATTTTCAAATATTTTAAAAAATTTATAAACTTAATTTATAAATCAAGAAATTTTAATTTAATAATTAAATTTTTAAAATTTAATATACACAATGAATTATTAAATAAAATAATTTTACTAAAAAGTTACTGTAATTTCATCCTTCTCTAAATTATATATATAACTTTAATCGAATAAGATTCGCTAGGGATTGAATATAAGATCCACTAATTAGATTTACTTAAAATTGAGTCTTTATTTTCATAACATGATTCACCATGGTTTCATTGTAGGTCCACAAATTATATTTGACAAGAATATATATTTCTTTTATTCTTTATCTACCTTAATCATATCTTATTACTCACTAACAAAAAGAAAATACAATTCTGGCAAGAACCAACTTGCTCTCTTAGAGGCTCATGTGACGCAAGTGTGGTAGGCCCCAAAATAATTGGATACCCGAGTTGTAGGGTTGTTTCGGCCCACAAAGCCCATTCCGCCAACCCAATTTTCATACCCTGCGGGATGCCATGTGTCAGCCCCACGTTGGCCAACTATATTTGTTCATTAACTTCCATACTTGCTTTCTACCTTCCAACCAAATACAGAAACAAAACTCTCCCTACCCTCTTTTTGAAACCTTTACCTAAATAATCTTCATTATACAAATTCAATGCAAAAATCTTATGAAAAAAATAAGTTATATTACACCATTATTCAGTTAAAAACCATCGTATATGATAAATTTATTACTTGTTACAATAATTATTTTAAAAATCATACTAATAATATTTTATAATCGATCAATAGTATAATTTTTTTTATATAAAAATTGTACATAGTCATTAAATTCAAATATTATCGATAGTTGAGTGTCTACAAGAAACGTGTTAAATCAACATTGCAAAAAAAGAGAAATTCTAGCTTCTCATGGTGCTGAAATTAAGCTAGGTTAGATATAGTCCTTCGGTTTGGACCATTAGGTTTGAGATGGTCAAATTATCTTATAGCAAAGTAGTAGCATGGTTTCAACTTCTTGTACTTTGATTGAGAAGGTATGTGAATATGCAAGTTACGTAATTTGGTTTACTTCATTGGTACGTGGAGGGCCGAGAAATTATTGAAGCGAGTCACCACTTTCGATGTATAGTGCATAATCTTAATTATATATGTATACTTTAGCATGTATGATAATTAATGATAAAGGATAGCAAGTTAATTAAGTACGTGCTAATAGTCTTCTTTGGAGAGTTGATGATGGTGACTTTGTGAATATATATATATATAT